CTAGCAGATTATTATTATTATTATTATTATTATTATTATTATTATTAATATTATAACATTTCTATGCCACCCCTTGCCGAAACCTCGGGGCGGCTTACAACATGATAAAATACATTGAAATACAATAGTACATAATAAATTACCATTAAATATAACAATACAAAAAATACATTGATTTACAAATACAAAATTAAAATTATCAGTATAAAATAAAAATATAGGAGGAGAAAGAGAAGGAAGAAGAAGTTGCCCAGGCCAGATCATATGTTTTAACAATTGAAATGATGTTTAAATAAAAAGGTCTTTACCTGGCGCTGAAAAACCAGTAACGACGGTGCCAGGCGGACCTCTTTGGGGAGTGAATTCCATAGGTTGGGCGCCACCGCAGAGAAAGCCCTCCTCCGGGTACTTACTCTCCTAATTTCTTTCATGGAGGGTTCCCGGAGAAGGGACTCTCCCGCAGATCTCAAAGGGCGGTCGGGCATATACGGACGAAAAGGATCTAAGTATGCTGAACCCTGAGAAGAGCAGACTGAGGAAGAAATTAGAACTTCATGTACTTAACAGGTTGTCAAACAGAAGAGGGCTGCTAATGTTTTGTATCCACCAAGACTGTAGGATACTAAACAGTGGATTAATGTTAATAGGAAGGCAGATTTTGGCTAAAAGCAGGAAAAAATTAAAGAACAGAGCAGACCAGATTTGTAGGGAAATGGTGGGTTCTCTGTCCCTGGAGGTATTCAAGCAAAGACTGCTCAGCCATCCGTCAGGGATAATCTAAAGGGGCTTCCTGCACTGGGCAGGAGATTGGGCTCAATGGTCTAAATGGCCCCTTCCAACTCTATGGCTCCCCTGATACTTGCTTTTTCTTTCTCCCAGCAATGAACCCAAGGTGACTTACATAAACATCAAGTGCTGATTTGTTAACTATTGTTTACAATCTGCTGCACCTTCCTCAGGGTTGCCCTTTTGCATGCGGATATAGCATTCTTTCCAAATCCTTGAAAGCACAATATGGTGCATTTGGGGAAATGAGCTAAATCCCCCAGATGTCTGCTATTACGCAAGCTGCATGGAGAAAGGAGTGCAGTTGTGTGTGACTAGGGGAAATTAAGTGGTATTTCCTGTAACATCTCCAAAGAGGCACTGGCAGGGAAACACAAGCCTTTTCTGTTCCTTAGGGAAAAGGGTTCCGAACAGCTGTTGGTTATTAAGATCTGGCAGCAGTTCCAATGGATGAGGTGGACTCCTTTTCCTGCTATTCTTGACAGTCACCAAGTTAGCTTGATTAACTGTATCATTTAGTTGTGTATTTTCCTGCTATACAATGCAAAGAACTTTTCTACATGAAGCTGTTAATGCACTGTATCCAGTTTCATCATCAAATTGAGAATGGAACACCACAGAAGGAGTATCAGCTTTTCTAATCTTTCACCATATAACTGCTAGATGGCACTGCAACAACAGAATAGTACAAATAACCAAGTGAAAAAATGATTTTGTTGCTTCTACAATTAATGCTGCATTTCCTCTGCTCTTAAAAAAAAAAAGTGAGACACAACACCCAGAAACTGCTGGGTCATGAGGTTTTCTAACCCATGAACCATAAACAACCTTGATTAGGGAATAAGTGCATTCTATGTGCCTCATGTAGAAAAGTCCTAATACTGAATATTTGGTGAAACAGTTTGAAGAAACAAGACTAGCGCATTTTTCATCAATGGCTCACTATGACTTTTATGACTTCTTTTCTTCCCTCATTCTCCGATTCCTTCCAGATGATTTTACTACCAACCTTCCCTATTCTCAAAGGTTCCTTGTTTTGCTGTCTTCCATCTGAAACCATCCAATGTTTTCTAGGCTTGTTTTCTTTAAACAGAAAACTCATCAGGGGAGGGAGGGAGTGGAATAGCAGCACAATGGTCTTTGACTGGTAGCACTGTTTAGAAGCACTTTCTTTCTTTCTCTAATTAACAGCTGCATGGTGCTCAGGTGACCAGATGCCAGGCAGCAGTGGGCAGGGCTCCTACCTTTACCAGGCTGCAGAAAAAGGGGGCATTTTAAAATGCACCTTTTCTTGCCTGTGACATAAGAAGCAGCTACCCAAATTCTCTCTTCTGCACATTTCTTAAAGCAGAGGTGGGAACTTGTAGTCCTCAATGTATTCTGGCCTACTACTTCCATCTGCCCCAGCTGGTACAGCCAGTGGCGTGGGATCATGTGAGCTGTAGACCAAGGCATCTGAAAGGCTAAAACTTGCCCCAAAGTCCACTTGTTCCCTATTACAGTAAATTACCTAGAGTGAATTCCCCACCTTCCTTTGCTGGTATGTGCATCTAGGCAGATTCTTTTAAAAAGAGGATGAACAGAAAGACTTAGCTCTTCCCATCTGAGTTACATTACCTAATTGAGACATTACGATACTCAGTCATTGTTGCACTGCAACTTGGCTAGCCATTACACAATAGAATAAATTTACAGCATTCCCTAGCTTGGTGCCTTCCAGCTGTTTTGGATCACAACTGGCAACATTCCTGACATTGGCCACGTGAGCAGAGCCTCATGGGAGTTAAAACATCTGGAGCGCACCAGACTGGGGAAGGCTGGCCTAGACAGTTAACTGCAGAAACGATCTTCTCTCTTACTAGCAAAGCAACCACAGATGCCAGCCCACACGGGCTTCCCCTCGCTTACCCAGCTCCCTTCTTTCAGCCGCGTAGCTTCCAAGCTTATCGCAGAGTTTTCAAGAGGTTCTTCTGCGCTAAAAGGGGAAGTTTGCCGATTAGCTGTTCGGCCTGTCAATCACTCTCCGGGGGAAATTCCAGAGTGGGCGGTTCTGAGTCACGCTTCCTCCTCTGGGCAGCCCAGCCGGAGAGGAAGTAGAAGAGATGTCAGCGGTGCAAAACGCAGTAGACCCGGGAGCCGACCGGAGACCCGTCCCTAGATCACTCGCAGGTAGGACCAGCTCATACGCCTCCCACCCTTTCTCCCGTGCAGCAGTGGAGTCCCTGTCCCAGCGAGCTCTGCCTGGGAGGACGAAGGGATGCGTGCGCCAGTGCTTGGGAAACCGTAGCGACCAGGCTAAACTTGGAGGGTGATGACAAGGGGAGATAGAAGGGGTGGCTCCTCTTTCTGTGGAACCCTGGCGTTCTGGAAGTGAGGGCACCATCTTCAAAGCAAGGTCAGCGAAACTGAGGCTGCATTCTTCTGACCCGACGAGTGATTGCGTTGCTCCTGAAGGTGGCAGAGGCAGGCACGATCTAACTTGGACCTAGAACGACAGAGTGTCTTGTGGCACTCTGAGGGTAACATGTTTATTCTGCCCTTGTATTCTGGGATAAGCTTTCGTGAACTGTAGCCCACTTCGTATAGTCGTCTGTGAAGGCTGCTTATAGAATAGATTTGGTGCACTGCATGACCCCTTTTCCTTTCCTTTCTTTTTTGCAACACACTGACACAGCTCCCTTCTGTAAATTGTATTTTGGACCCGTTGCTTCAGTGTGTGGTAACTGATACCCTCTCTGTTGCATTGTATCATAGTTGTCTTGTTACAACAGCATCTGCTGTAAGTTTGCAACCACTGCAACAGGTTGTGTACTTTTGAATACCAGTACAACTAATAAAAAGTGCTACTCTCTGATAAATGTGCATGATATCTTAACCTGCATGCATTTATGCACATTCCACCCTCCTCCAAAGGAGCTGAGTATAGCATATAAATAGATATACCATTTTCTGCTTACATAATGATTATCGGGTTGTTATTATGTGGTGTTAAGTCTCCTCCAACTTATGGTAACCCTGTGAGTGAATGTCTTCCAGACTGCACTGTCCTTGATAATTCTGTTCTGTTCTTCTAAACTCAAGGCTGTGGCTTCTTTTATGAAATTGATTCATCTCATAGCTGATCTTCCTTCTCTTCTGCCTTCAACTTTCCCTAGCATGATTGTCTTCTTTAGTGAGTCTTGCCTTCCCATGATGTGCCCAAAGTACAACAGGTTCAGTTTCCTCATTTTACCTTCCAGGGAAAATTCTGGCTTGACTTGATCTAGGACCAACTTTTTTGTCTTTCTGTCAATCCAGGGTATTTGCAAAGCTCTTGAGAAATAATGACTGTGCATTATTATTGCATTGCATTTATGTGCCACCTTTTTTTTCCTCTTGTGAGGAACCCAAGGTGGCTTACAGAGCTCCATTTTTTCCTCACTACAACAACCCTGTGAGGTAGGTTAGGCTGAGAGTGACTGGCCCAAAGTTACCCAGTGAAATTCATGGCTGAATGGGCTGAACCTGGCTGAACCTGCATCTCTCAGGTCTTCAGTCCAATACCATACTACACTGACTCACTTACAATTTTGCCTTGGTATAAGCCCAACGCACTTTCCCTTAAGGCATCTTAGTATTTCAGATCATTTGCTTTTTCTTCAGGTAGTTTTTTCTTATCAGAAAAAGGGAATGCAAATATTTCCCCTCTTTTTACACTTGAGGAAAATGAAGCTGAGGGTAAGTGGTTCTGATACGCACCGGGTGGTGGCCTAAGGCTGCAGTATTATGCACAGTTTGGGGGGAATATGTTGCAGTGCACTGTTCTAACCAGGTTCACCTGCATGATTTGGACTTCAATATCACCAGCCCTAGCCAGTGCAGTCAGTAATGAAGAATGTTGGGAGTTGTAGTCCAGAATGTCTGGAGGTTACCAGGATGGGGAAAGCTGCTCCAGTCAGATTTATTTCTGGGTTAAAATGCATGATAGTAGACTGGGAGATTATATTAACATTCAGACTTGCTACAGTGTCACCTGCAAATACTTCATGGGCAATTTGAAAGAAAGGAAAAGGAAAGGTATATTGGATCTTTCTTTGATAAACATTAACTCAACTTCTTGAAAATGTAAACTCACTGGTCACATCATTGTAAATTTATAGTCAAGGAAGAAGTAAAGCATGACATAATTTTGCTGTTTTGATCTGACTGGAAGGGTGACTTCAGCCTGGGTGGAATTAAGCTGAAAAGCAGTGTGTCTCACACACACACATGATACCTTCTTGTTCTGTGACCAAGTTTCAGATGAAGCACCTGCTAGTTCTTGAATTTCATAGTGGCTTTCATATTATTGACCATTATCCTCCTGACTCAACTCTGAGTCGGGACACCATTTCATACTGGCTTGGCTCTTACCTGTGGGGTCAGTTCCAGAGAATAATGTTGAGTGGCCATGCTTCAGCCCCCTAGTGGTTGAACCTGGTGAGTGCCATAGGGTGGTGTTCTTCTGCAGGGTCCTTTAACAACTGTATGAACTGGTTGGGAGTGAGTATTTGGAGTTCTGCAGCAGTATGCTGATGTGTTTCTCTGAAACACTTGAACCCAGAGGAGCCGTGCATTTTAAATCAATGCCTGAATGCAGTTAAGGGCTGGGTTGGAACTAATGAGCTGAAATTGACTCTCTGGCAAGCAGTTTCTCGGTCTAGGAATGGGAGCATTTGCTTGCTTTGTACAGGGTTGCTCTCCCTCTGAAAGATGTATATGTAGTTTGGAGATGCTCCTGGATCCTTTTTTGTCACTGGAGCCTCAAGTGATGTCAGTGGTCCAGCATACAACTTCAGCTGTTGTGCCAACTAATCTATTCCTAGATATATATAATTTAGCTGTGTGAAATATATTTTTATTTTATTAGATTTATATCCCACATTTTTTCTTACAAAGAACTCAAAGCATCTTACATCATTCTCCTTCTCTTGCTCTCAGTCTTATACCCACAACAAGGACCCAGTGAGGTAGGTTGGGCTGTGAGTCTGTGACTGACTGAAAGTCACCTAGTTGGCTGCATGGCTGAGTAGGAACCCAGACTGCCTGAGTCCCAGACCTGCACTTTTAATTACTACACCACACTGGCTCTGTTGTAACTGGTAATATGCATGCATGACTAGAATACTGTCATGTGCTATATGTGGACCTGCTTTTGTGCCTGGTTCAGAAGCTCTAGCTGGTGCAGAACATATGTTCTGTAGACCTTATACCTGTGTTAACAGAACTGCCCTGGATGCCCATGATGTTTTGGACCTTGTTCAAGTTCATATGTACACATACAAAGCCCTAAGGAACTTGGGTTCCAAATACTTACCAGAACTGCCCCTGTATATATATGCAGATGGCCCTGAGATCTTCTGAGAAAGTCTTAGTGGTTGTTCCATGGTCAATAAAATGTTTCCAGGTAATATCACAAGAGTGGACTTGGTCATTAGTGGTGCCCATTCTCTGGAAAATTGTCTGAGAGACAGAAATTAACCAGGTTTCAATTGCCTATTGAAAACTTTTTTGGCCTGTAATGAACTATGACCAACTCTGTTTTATTGTTTTTGCTACTTTTTTTTATTTTGGTTTTATTGTTTGACATAGGTGGTTTTGTGTGAACTGCTTAAAGATTCAGTTATATTAAGTAGTGTACCTACATTATAAACAAATAAATGTATTAAATACATCCAAGGTGTTTCCACTTTTGCAGGTGGGAATTAGCTGAAGTGGTCATCCAACAAAGCAGCAGATACTTTCTGTGAGCATTCTTGTGTCTTTCCATCTTTCTGCCCATACAGTGGCATTGCAAATGAGTAGCTAATTGCAGTTTTATAGGCCATTAAAAATCTTACATGCTAATTGTGCATCAGTGGGAACTTGTGTGTATAAGCACTCCTACTGATGGTGGTTTTAGATTAACATGCAGTTTTGTACATACCTACTTAGAAGTGCATCCCACTAAGTTCAGTGGGACTTAGTCCCAGCTATAGGATTACATTTTAAATATACAATGGTTATTACTCACCCATTGTGCTATAGTTTTGTGAATTGCCCAACCCTTCTAAACACAAATGCTTTTGTGTTCCTGCGTTCTTTTCCGGGCAATGAAACGGTTACTTGAAGAGTTATTCTGGGAATGGAGTTGATGGAATTTTGACTCTGGGGTTATGTGCTGACGCTTTCCTGTAAGCAAGGCTGACATTATTTATAGTTTTCTTCTCTTGAATGGGATGATCCTGGAAGGGTTAGTTTTTTGGTATCTTGCTGATGGAGAGATCATGACTTTTCAAGCGATAGTTTTGTTTCATGAAGGTAAGACACAACCCTGGTAAAATATGGGCAGATGTAAATACAGGGCCAGAGAAAAGTTTTCTTTCTGTAGCTTTGTTAAAGGACCTTTTAAGACAATCAGTTTCTTAAACAATAAAAAATATGTAATTCTGGGATCTGAAATGTGGTGCCTGGTACTCATCCTGTCCTTCCTGATCTTAATTCATTTTTTAGCATTTTCTAAATTTGCTATTTTTTTAAATTGGGAAGCTGGCCTGCTAGGAGTAAAGTTCTGTCTTCCAGTGCCATTATTATTTGGATTCAAATAATAAAGTGTGTGTTTGCTTGTTCATTTTGGAGCCTAGACCTGATTCATGTGCTTAGGTATTGGGGCAAGTTAGTTTTCTTCAGGTCTTTGGCTTTGGGGAAATGTCTGTTCTGTGAGCAAGCAACTATTCTGTGAGGGTGCCCATGACACGCTCAGAATTTTGAATGATCCCCCCAAAAGTTGCTAACTCCTGATTTATTTGTTCACATGTTTCAAAGGATCTGTTAATTTTGCCTCTAAGAGGTGCTTCCGTTCCAGTTATATCACAATTTCCCAGCAATGAAAAGAAAAGGGAAATGCAATCATTTCCTCAGCTGGTAGGGTGATGGCAATTTGAAATCCTACCTAGAATTTCATGGGCATACTAAACCTGCAGACATAGGTCATTATGTTGTGTGAACTCAGTCAATGACAAGCCAAGCAATGGATTGTTGTTGAAACATGGGTTGTCTAACATGCTAATCCTGCACTAAGGTTTAGCTATTGGTTAAACCAGTGATCCCCGAAGTGGATGGTACTGCCACCCGGGAGACGATGGAAAGATCCAAGGGGGCAGTGAGGAAAATTAGGGAACAGGTGTTGTTAGGGGATTACAGATAATCCCCAGGTTACAAACATCCAGTTTACGAACAACTTGTACTTATGAACGCATTGACTGCCATAAACCCGATATGAATATCTCTAGGGAACTATGTGGCACATTTAGAAATGTGTCATCAGTGGCAGCCTAGTTCCCTAGAGATAGAGTATTCATGGCTTTTTGTTCTGCAGTGTTGAATTGAGCATACCCAAGCCAGTGTCTTTCAGGGTACATGTAAGGCACATAGTTCACCTTTGGTTTTTCTTCAGCATTTCCCCTTGTAACCAGGCCCTCAGCTGCTACAAGGCCATTTATGATAAGAAAAAGAAAATGGCTACACAAACCACCCTCGAGGCCTACTTCAATAGAGTGACTCCAGTGGCAACTCCCTCTCCCTGCTCTCCAGTAGCACAATCAAACCAAGGCTTTCCAGCACCAGGTCCATTTCCATCGTCGTCAGTTAATGTTAGTGTTACCTCAAGAATGTTTTACTTTTTTTTTGTTTTTTTTACAGTACTGTATGCCTGCACACATACATTCTCTCTCTCTCCAGCACCTGTAGCTACTTGATTATTACTGTATTATCATCATCATCATCACAATGCTTTATTGTGTTTAAGATGTTTTAGCAATGAACTGTTTCTTATGTGTGTTATATGCATAGAAAGGTAAAATACATACATACACTAAGACAAACATTTGGCTTACTCGTATGATCCAGCTTACAAAAAAATCAAATTAAGGGCATTTTCAGAACAGAACTTGTCTGTAACCTGGGGATGACTGCATAGATTACTACCACAAAAGAAACAAAGCAAACAAAAAGGCAAACATTTCTAAAATAGGATCACTAAGGAGCCTGCCTAGCCTCCCTGCAGCCCTGCAAACTACCATTCATTATGGTGCCCCCCTCTCAATGCCCTGGTGAGAGTGGAGACAAGGGATGGGGGGGGGGGGTGAAAAAGTCTGAGGACCCCTGACCTAAGGTATGAGAATCCCAGTTTCCCTAATACAAACAAAGAGGCATGGGGGTGCAAGGGTTGTCACCCAAGAGAAAGGGGGCAGCAGTCAGCAAAAGTTTGGGGACCACTGGGCTAAACTATGAAAAACCCAAAGTTCACAACCCAACCTATAGGAACTTGCAGCGCATTCCTATTTATTTATTTAAAACACGTCTATGCCGCCCCCATCGCAACAAAGCCTCGGGGCGGCTCACAAACCATAAATAAATAGAATACAATAAAACTATATAAATTAACAATATAAATTAATCCAGCCCTGCCCCAGGCCATGTCCGGTGGGTTCAGCCGGCGCCTGCCCGCATGCCCCGCCCCAATCCGGCATTGCTCTCACCAATTATTTTAAAATTTTATTTTAAAATTATTTAAATTAAAATTATTTTTTATTTTAAAATTAAAATAAGTTCTTTTTAGTGTCTGGATAATCAAACTTTCAGCTGATATCTGAAACCTATGGGTTCTTTTCATGAATTGTTTCTGGTTAACAACCCATACTGGAATTATAGTGCAGAGTTTTTATGTAACAACAATTCGTAATTCAATACCATCAGCCCTAACAAAACCTATACTCTGGGAGGTTGTTACATGTAAACCAGGCTACCATCTGCCACATCTCAGGAATTGCATAGCTGCATTTGGGTAACTCCAGAGTAGCTCAGGATTGTCACCTTTCCAACTTGGTCTGTGTCCCTGAGAAAAAACAGAATCTTGTGATTCTAATTGATGTATGAAAAAATGTTGATTACTTTACTTTTGTGACCTAAGTAACTTAGTGTTTTCTGAATGTTGATCAATTTTTAAATGAGGTTAATTAAGCTAGCAGCAAACTCTCAGGATCTATACTGATAACAGCTGGAATCAGTGACAGAATGTGTACAGTAGTATGGAATTAACACTGTGCTGGAGAGGGATCAGAATTCTGGGTAAATGGTAACACGTACAAGGGTACAAAGAGAAGTGTCAGTGTTAATACCACCTGGGTTCCTGTTTTTTGACCAAGTTGATCTGGCCTTGTGGTTTTACTGGCTGTGTCTGTTTCTCCTGCCACAAAAAAGGGAGCTTGCCTACCTGGCAGGCTCATTTCTGCCTCAACCAGTTTGCTAGGTGACTCTTTTCATGAAGTCCATTTACAAAATTAATTGGAATGACACTACCAAGCAGCTCCTTGCCCAGTGGGTGGAAGTACAGGTATCAGCTGAAAGTTTGATCATCCAGATACTGAACTGACAGGGATGAGCTGCAAGTTGAGTTACGTTGAGCATTTTAAAAAGCCTTCAGGGTTTCACCAGATGCCTGATCCAACCTTTTCTTTGCACAGTATCCAACCATTTGCCTGTGGGAAGCCCACAGATGGAGAATAATGTAGTATCTTCCCCTCCCCATGTGCGCTCCCCAGCAACTGGTACACGTAAGCATGCTGCTTCTAGTCCTGGAGGCACTATATAGCCAACATGATTAGTAGACATTGATACTACTCTCAAGGGTAGTAGAGGGGACATGGGGAATTACAGACCGGTTAGCCTTACTTTCATTGTAGGAAAGACAATGGAAAGGCTCATAATAGCAAGAGATCTAGTAACCCTAGAGAGGGAAGGGAGGTTGGCGGCCATGCAGCATGGCTTCCACAAAAACAGGTCCTGCCAGACAGACCTTGTGGAATTCTATGATAAGGTTTCGAGGTGGCTAGGCTGAGGGGATGCGGTGGATGTGGTTTACCTGGATTTCAGCAAGGCCTTGACAAAGTGCCACATGATATCCTGGTTATGAAATTGAGGAGCTTTGGGATAGACCAACACACTGTCCGATGGATTAGGGCATGATTGACTGACTGAAAGCAGAGGGTAACCATTAGTGGGGAATCATCAGGATGGCAGCCAGTGACAAGCGGGGTCCCCCAGGGCTCTGTCCTGGGGCCGATCCTGTTTAATCTTTTCATCAACAACATGGAAGAAGGGGTGAATGGTCTGCTGATCAAATTCACAGATGATACTAAAACTGGGGCAGGGGTCACAACTGAGGAGCAGGTACTCAGGATCCAGAAGGATCTGGACAGACTATTTAAGTGGACCAGGGACAACATGATGACATTCGATGTGGAAAAGTGCAAGGTCTTGCACGTGGGGCATAGGAATGGGTGTCACAACTACAGGTTAGAGGACAAGTGGTTGGAGAGCAGCACTTGTGAAAGGGGTCTCCAGGTACTGCTTGACTGCAGGCTAAACATGAGTTAGCAGTGTGACGTGGCGGTCAAGAGGGCGAACGCCACCCTTGGTTGCATAGCCAGAAGTGTGGCTTCTAGATTGAGAAAGGTATTACTACCACTCTATATGACTCTGATATACGATGGCAAAAGAAGAAGGGGACGGCAGAGAATGAGGTGGCTAGATGGAGTCACTGAAGTAGTCAGCGTGAGCTTAAGTGAACTCCGGGGAATGGTGGAGGACAGGAAGGCCTGGAGGAATGTTGTCTATGGGTTTGCGATGGGTCGGACATGACTTTGTGACTAACAACAGCAATATGACTCTGGTGCGCCCGCAACTGGAGTATTGTGTTCAGTTCTGGGCTCCACATTACAGAAAGGATATAGCCAGGTTAGAGTCAGTGCAGTGTGGGGCCACATGAATGGTGGCCGGATTGCAAGGAAAGCTTATGAGGCGAGACTGAGGAAACTGGGTCTTTTCAGACTGGAGAAGAGGAGAGTCTGAGGGGATATGTTGGCAACATACAGGTATGTGAGGGGATGTCACATGGAGATGGGTAGAGACCTGTTCTCCCCTGCAGAGGAAGGCAGGATGTGCTCCAACGGAGCAAAGCTCAGGGAGCCAAGGTCCCATTTGAATGCCAGGAAGTACTTCCTGACAGTTAGGACCCCGAGGGTATGGAATGGGCTTCCACGGGAGGTGGTTGAGGCCCCATCGGTGAGGGTGTTCAAGGATAGGCTAGACATGCACATGGTGGGCATGTTGTGAGTGGAGCTGGCTGGAGTCAGCGTCAGACTAGATGGCCTGGGTGGCCCCTTCTGGTTCACTCTGTTTCTATGTTTCTATTTAATCTCCATTTAAAACTGTTGAAGTTGGGGCCAGTGATTCAGTAGCTGAAGAAGTTCTTCCTTCTG